AATTTTATGTTCCAAATAATTTCCTCTCAAAAATTAAAATAACTGCTTCATTTTTTAAAACTCATGCTTAGTGCTACCAAGGAAAGTACAATGAATCTCAACTAGAAGCTTTTAGGATTTCCTCTGTTAGTTTCTCCTGGATGCTCTAGGACTGGGAATTTTTCCACTCATTTTGTTAAATGTTTTGATTCAGAGGTCTTTTATTTCTTCTTCTTTCATAAATTTCAGGAACTTTTCTTCAATAATATATATTCTTTGAGTGTTTCATTCAATATATTCCCTCTGACCTTTCCTTCTGGAAGTCCTACTACTTCTAATGTTAGAAGCCCTGTTATTTTAATATATAATTCACCCCTGCCATCATTCATATCTCTTTTTATTATACCTAATGACCCTAGTTTTGGAAACATATCAAGACTCAAATGTCCAACTCATTAATATGTTCTTCATTTATGCCTATACTGATATTTAGGGGGAGAAAATTCTTCGTTTGTTTTAACAATCATAAATTTTCAAATGCACATATTTCTTATTTCATTATAAAATCTGCTTTAATTTCACAAATGCAGTACGCTCTCTTATTCCTCTGAGGGTACTAGTTATAATCCTCATAAAGTCTCCATTTGTTTAGTCTGCTACTTTCATTTTCTCAGCTCTTAGTTCTTTAGTTTGATGCTTTTTATGGAGTTGATTTTACACAGATTGATGACTCTAGACCATTTGCTTAAATTTGTTTCTACTATTCTCTCTTAGTTTGGGTGCATAAATGCCCACCAAGTGTGGGGCAGGGCGGAGGAGGTCTGATGTGCCCTTGGCTGTAGACAACCACGGGATTTGGCTACACATCCCTTTGAGGTTTCCAGTCACCTGGCATTGGCCAGCTTCTCTATTCCAAGTGTCCGCATTCACTGTGTGTTCCTGGGGGCAGACCTCTCCTGGGAAGTGGGTGTAGGGAAGGCCCATCTACTTGGCAGGGGCTACAGCAGCACATCAGAGCCCCATCCTGTTCTGTGTCCAGCATCACTGATCTGGAGCAGCGCTGGGGCACTTTTTGTAGTGTCTTTTTCAACATGTGTTTTGGGCTATAGTTTCCTCCTTCCATCAAATCCTTTCCTCCTCTTTCTTTCTTTTTTTGTGTAATCCTTTTAACTCATCCAACTATGCCATATTTTCTTGTTTTATAGAGTTATTATATTTTACTTGCTCATTTTCTGTAATTTCTAATGATCTGGGACAGGTGGGAAAGACTGGAACATGCTGTCTTAATTCAATTAATCTGATATCCATTGCACTTATGGAGTTGTTCTTTAACATGAATACTCTGGTGACAGCAATAAAAAGATATTTTAAAAAGGTATCTGAATAGTAAAAAATATATAATGTTTGCATTTGGACTGAACAGCTGTATAAAAATTCCATATTACAGCAATGCATTTTTCTACAAAGCCCCCTCCCACCTAAAAACATCCTGGGCTAGCTGAGATATGGTAGTTGTTAACTAAATGATGTATTTGTAAGGGCAGCTAAAATTCAGAAAGAGTGACATAAATTAGCAGTGTATCTATTAAAGTTTCTCTCTTGCAGAAGTAGCAGATGTGCCTCCTTTAGGAAAATTAAAAAAGACTTTAAAATCCCACTTTAAAAGACTAAACCTACCCAACATTCGATTTAGGACAGTGCTGTGAAATGAAGGCAAAATACTCTGATTCGATGGTGGGAAAACAGTGATATTTGAAAAAGTGTGTTCTAGAAAGTGTCACAATGACTTGGTAGCTTTCTTTTCTTTCTTGCTATTCAAATGAAATGTTTTGAAAATATTATTAGAGAGGACTGCATATTCTATTTTCTCTCATACTTCTTATGGGAGGAAAACATTGTTAAATTGTTTTTAAAAACTGACCTTAAAGCTATAAAATTCAATCAACTGAATTGGTTACTCTTGAATATCATCTGTTTTCTGTTTTCAGCAGGTGAAACTATAATGATAAATTATCTGTGTGGGTGGTGATGGCCAAGGAGAAGAATGAAACAAATATTCTGTAAACCTGGCTGAGAAAACAAAACACATCAAGAATTTCACTATTAGATTCCTAATCTGTTTTTCTTTGTCAGCTTTTACCCTAGGTAAAAATGCTTCACATTAATTTGGCTTTGTGACAGGATTTTTCCCCCGAAGCTATGATAGAAAATTATTATACAGCCTTCATTCCTAGACCAATAAAGCAGCATTTGGGACTGGGTGGGTGTGGGGAGGGGACACACATAACACACACACACTATAGACTAAACCAGCATGTTTATCATCACCCCAAATACCGAAAATACTAGGTCCTGTGATTATCCTTTTATACCTTTATAACATAATGTCAGCTTAATCACTGAGCCACCAGATGGGAGCATAAATGAGGTAATTCTGGGGGTGTGGCCTGATATCCTAGGGGAAGAGCTATAAATAAACCAAGGTATGGTTGCTAGAATAAACTACCTAGAGAACTTAGATGAATTAATTGTATACCAATTAGAGTGGCACAGGTGTTTTTGTCAAGCACATTATCCTGTGTTATTGGAAAAGAAGTCTGCTGACAATGTCATAGCCTGAAAGTGTCAGCCTCTTAACTGTGACCGATACCTGCTACATCCTTAGTCCAGAGGAATGGCCAAAGAGCATAACTGAAACCACCTGAGTCATGGAGTGAATGGCATTTGCTCTGATGTTCTCCTCTGTCCATACTGATTTTAGCTCTTTTTTTCTAGGCACAAATGCCTTCAATTCTTTTCTTGTTTGTTTGTTTTGATTTGGAAGATGAATGCTTTGGTTTAGCCACAAATTGTCTTATATCATTAGTGCTCTGTGAAAATGGAATGTCTAATCTGTTAATTGAAATACATATATAGTCAGCTGTTTCTTGACTAGTACATTAATTTTCTAAAATATGTTTAATTTCTTCTAATATCAACTCAATTGCTTTCTAAGCTTAATTCATGAATGAGTTTTCTGTGTTTGTCTCCCCTGTTACTAGCAGAGAGGATTTCTTCTGTTCTTTTTTAAAAAAAGAGGAAAAGGGAATTCTGGGAGAGGAAATAAGTGAAAATAAATTTTCTTTCTCCTCAAAAGAATAAGAGTAAATGACACTGAAGACTAAGTTTTACTGGAGAGAGAGAGAGATGGGTTGATGTGAAATGGTACTACTGGAGGTGAAACCTGTGTTTCTCTCTCTGCTTCAGAAGGATGAGGGCTGAGCATCCCTGGGGAATCATCTGAGTCCCCAGAAGATGCAGGTCTCACTAAAGAGGATGACTTTTCACTGCTGCACGGATGGTTCGAGCTTGGAGAAATGACAAAGTGGAGGTCAATAAATCTGCATCTGCTTCTGTTTCAAAATTTGGGATCGCCTCATAGGCAATCAAGCTACATAATCAGGAAGGGTATTTGGATTGGCCTTTGTTTCGGGGTCAGAAGGAAAGAACTGATTTTTCTTTTATCTCCAGAAGATAGGTGAAGAAGCCTTGTGTACATTGTCAAAGTTCTGGACCCCATCAAAGCCCTTTTGTCTGTGAGGGGAGTAGAATGAGCCCTGGGTAGTGTTAAGGGTTACAAAACAAGCAGCCTAATGCCTGTGTCAATCCTAGAGATAAAAAAGAGAAGCAGCAGTTGCTAGTCCCTCAGAGAGATGTGGAGAGACACTGGGCACTTGAAGGGTGACAGAAGGCTAAGAGAAGGACTGTGGACTGAAGGGTCTGAGCATTGGCACTAGGTCCAGAGAGGTCAAGGATAGGCCCCAAGGAGGTGGGGCCCCTCAAAGTGTCATCTGCCTTCAGAGGCCACCCTGGCCTGTGCCACAATCTAGACCTGAGAGACATCCATGGGGCAAGGAGGAGCAGAGCTGTCAGACACAGTGGAAATCTAGCTGTTAGCAGTGAAAGACCCCAATGTGGTTGCAAAGGGTAACAGCAGCGGCAGCTCAGGCTGCACGTCAGATCTCCCTCTTACTGAATCTGAGTGCACTTCCTGGGCATTGCACAGGAAGTGGGGAGCCCAAGAGAACAATATTTGCCTTCTTGCTACTCAGGCACAAAGAAGTTCCATCCTGTTTTGACTTAATTTGTTATGATCAGAAAGACATGACTATCTCAAATGTGTTATGGAAAAGTTTCTCATAGTTAACAATTAAATTACCACTATTTCATATTCATTATGAAATTATATTTAATGCTATTTCATTCATCTTCACTGTAGTATTAGGAAACATATACTAAACAATAGGACCTTGTGTTCTGATTACGTGTGTTTATTGCAAAAAGAAAGCTAGGTGAGAATGAGTAAATTTCTAGAATTTCTTCCCCACTCATACTACCCTATGAATTTTGACTTTTTGAACCTATTAATATTTTTAATTTGAATTTGTGAAAATGCTGCTTGATTCATAGGACATATCTTAGGGACATAGGACCCAGAAGAAAGCACACAGCTCAGAATGGCCAGAAAATACTACCACCAAACCATTCTTACTGCTTTGGGTCTCTTGTACTGTAATCTCAGCCCCATATTTCTCTTTTAAAAATATCTCAAAGATAAATTTTATCCCCTAAACAACTTTTAAAGATCAGAACCATATTGCACTGAAAACCAGATAATCTCATAGCTAAATCTCAGATTTCAGAGAGACAACTGAAAGTCTCAGTGTAATAGTGAAAAGATTTCATGTTCTATACAGTTTGAAAAAAACTTCCTCCCAGTAAAAGCTGAATAAACAAAGATGAGATATAAGTGATTCAGCTGAAGATAAAAAGTATGTACAATCACAAGTTTTTATATGCATAACATAGTTTATTACTAATAAAGAATGTTTAGGTTAAGTGTAACCCTTTTGGCTTGTTTATTCTAAGAATCATCAGTATTGATTGAACTATGCTTTGCTATTTAACAATATGCATTTAAAATATGTTCAGTGGAATAACTGTAAGTGCCATACACAGCATGGGAGATAACAATTACTTACCCTGCAGGCTGGCTCTCAAATTCTTCTGACCATTGCTCTTGAATATCCTCTGTAGAAAGATCTACATCCCGGGTGGTGGCAAAATTAAACTCACTGCCTTCATTTCCATGGAAATAAATGGAGTTCCCATCTGACTGACAGCTATGCTGTGGATAAAAAGAGAGCATGGGGTGGCTGTTGAATTGGTTCTGTAGCTGTATCTGTCTTACTCATGTATAATTAGAATTTTTAGAAAAGTCATGATATTATTCCTTCTAAGATGGAGTCTCAAGTCAAAAGAGCTTGTTACCTCTTTTTCTTGTCTTTTTAAATTCAATTACAATTTCTAACTTATTAAGTTATTATAAAAAAGAAGTCAAGAGGCCATTTGAGCTTTGCTACCTCAGCCTTCAGTATGAAAAAAGAATATTTTAATTAGAGTAATTTCCCATCTTCAGCATAGCCCTTGTTGTGGGAATTAGATAATGACTTGTCATATATTTTCAATACTGTAGTTATGGGCTAAATTGCACTGACCTTTTCAATATTCCATATATTTCTAGCTTGTCATTCAAGCCTTTCACAATTTGTCTGTAAATGGGATATGAGTAGAATAGCCAGCTAATCAAAACATGGAATACAGAAAAGGTCAAAGTAATCCCTGATATGATCATATATTCTCAGCTACCTTTTGAGTAAAAGTTTCGGACCAGACCTAAGAAGTGCATGATATCCCCAATAAGAAGCTGAGAAATCACAAACTTTTTTATTCTCTGAAAGAAAACTAGTTTTATAAAAAAATGAAAAATTTCTTGTAATAATTTTTAACCAATTTTTTTTCCAGCTTAAAGTGAACAGTCAAAGGCAAGAGCAAACTCTCGATGTGGGTAAACTGAGTACTTTTAAAAAATATGATAAATTTTCATTAATCATTTTTTGGTAACAAGTCAATATAAAGAAATACTAATAAATGAAAGATGAAACATCTTTTAAAGTCTTATATACTCTTAAAATGAAATAGGTATGAAGAGAAATAGTTGGGCAGAAAATATCAGTTAGATCCAGTGACTATAAGTTATCTCTTCATTTCTATGGAAATAAATGTAGGGCAAGGATCATGCCCATTTTATTCTGCTTTTAGTCCAGGTCCTGGCATAGTACTTGTGTCACAGTAGGAATCAAGTACATTTTTTGAATAATTCAATAAATTAATGGATTAATGATATGGTTATGCCTTTCCAAGTAGTCAATTTTATGGGGAATTTATTATGTAGAAAGCATTAAGGAAGGTACTGGGAGGAATGGGTTTATAATGAAGTACGATAATACATAATCTTTGCTCTCAAAAAAAATACCAGTCTAGTTGAGATATATCAAAGATAGGTCTCAATGCTAGGCAACATATGGTAAATGCTGATGAGTGAGAGAGGATAGACATCACTGTGTCCACGGCTGATATAGGGGAGCTTTTTCATAAACAAGCAGGACTTCAACAGGCTTTAAAATAAAAAAAATAAAAACCCAAGTTGGATGACAAATATGAATAAATGACAAAGGTGATTAAGTAGGCATGATTTTCAGAATTAGACTATAGCCTGACAGTAAAGGATCTTAAATAGTAGTCTAAGAGATCCCTACAATATTCTGTTGGCACTGGTGTTCTAGAATGGAGGAATGATATATGCAAAGAAACAGTTTATGACAATTAAGCTGGTAAAATCAACTGGGGAGGAATCAGACTACCGCAGTGAAGGAGTAAATAAAGCTTTCAGAAGTTCTTGTATGCTGAAGTCAAAGCGTTTGATCTTCAGGGAGCCATTTCACAGCACTAGGATATTAAGGCATATCCAGTGGGCCTGTATCATCTCAGGTATACTGTAGTGTGTGGCATGATCACCTGCCTGAGAATCTTCACACCACAATGTATACAGGTTATTCATGGATGCTAAACTGAGCTCACTACATGTACTCTTTAATTCACATGCACAGAAATGAGGATTCTGTTTTATTTAATAGTAGGTAGAAACTGTCAAGTTATGAAAATGCAAGTATCCTCTACTACTGCGCATCCTGTAAAGAAAATAAATGCTAAGTAGAATAACACAGATGACTTTCTTAATAATAAATCCATTTAACTGTAAATTTCACAATTATCTTCATATTCTGGAATCCTGAAAAACTGTGGCCTCTGTCTGGAAGTAATGTAAGGACTCTGATATAAATGCAAACAATACATTGTCATTATCCAAGGAAATGGCATACATGAAATACTTATACATGTGAAAACAGAATAATTTATATTACAACTTAAAAGGTTATATTTGTGTAATAAAAACAATGGCTAACTTAGCATGAAACCTTGGTCATTTCTGGCTAAAAATAATTTCATTATTTCCATTTTGTTTCCATTTACCTCAAAACTGTTTAATATTTTAAGACTGTGTTACTACTCCTCCAAAATTTATATTATTAACATATCTGATACATATTTTAATTTAGCTGAGATTGAAATTTTATGTAAAAGATTAAACCATTATAAAACTGGATAGCATATTGTTAAACTTATTTCCCAAAATTAAAATGTCTTGATGTTTCAGAAAACTAAAACTATGTTTTAAATGATATTCATATTAGTTATTTTCTTGTCACAAAACACATTTGGTAGTTGAATAAAACATCTGTAATTGTACTATTGAGAATTCTCTATTAAATGTACATTTTTGTCACTATACCTGCAATAGTGCCAGCATAGGAAACAAAAGTAATATTTACCATACCAAGTATGAAGAAAGCAACTTGAGCCCTGGCTGGTGTGCCTCAGTGGATTGAGCACTGGCCTGCAAACCAAAGGGTCACAGGTTCAATTCCTAATCAGGGCACATGCCTGGGTTGCAGGCCAGGTCCACAGTAGATAGTGCATGAGAGGCAACCACACTGATGTTTTTTCCCTCTCTTTCTCCCTCCCATTCCCTCTGTCTAAAAATAAATAAATACAATATGAAAAAAAAAGCAACTTGAAAAAATTTAACACTCACTTTGAGTATTAACTAATTTTCATACTAACAGGGTCTAAAAATTAGTAGGACCTTTCTTTGACAAGTTTCCACAAGGGATAAAATGCTTAACTTTTGTAGTTTTATTATTTTTATAGGGAAGAAACTGTTCTTTACCAATCTGTAATAAAAGAACAATACTCAGTACCAAATCTAAATTCAAACAAACAGGGCAGGGGTTTATATCAGTCAGGGTTCATTTTGCACTGAAAACATCTTAATCCTGTCTACCAAATTTAAGGGAAGACTCACAGTTAGCTTTATTCTCCCTCCCCAACTAGGTCTGCGGTCCTTTGTGTGTTAAGGGAGAGAAGTATTGCTTTTTGAATATTCTCTTCTTCATAGTCTTAGTGCAATGCCACATTATCAAAGAAAGATTGTGACACACCCCAAGTAAACAGCTGCAGTTCATGAGGAGGTGGCTCAACCTTCTCTATCTCATCACAAGAGAGAGCTGCCATTATCTGGTTAGCAGGGTCTGGTGATGAACAGAACCCCCACACAGATGGCTTACTCTGCTCCCCACAACACTGAGGAGATCAGATAAGATTTCCAGTCTCAGCCATTCTGAGTAGGAGCCAATGTTTTCCAAGTTTGAAATAAGGGTGATATGAAGCAGCAGGATAATAGTAGGACTACAAAATAGGGGAAGTCTGTGAAACTGGTGAATTCCTATGATGTCTGAGCAGAAATGGGCCAACTGAGAAACTGATTGTGTATAGATAGCACTTGTATTCAAGAATTTTGTGAAGGATAGGGAACCAGTTCAGGATTCTCATTATGAGGGTTCCCAAGATAATTACAAGGCAAGTTAGAGTTTCAAGTTAATTCTATTTTAGGATTGGCCATATGGGGCTCAATGTTTTAGAAGTGGTCTGGTCTCCCAGATGTTCCCCAACGTAAGAATTTACGTCTGAATGCATTTGGATTGAGATGGAGTTGCTGGGTTTCAGCTTGTTTGATGTTGCATCTCTGCAACTGAATGGGAATCATGGCCTGCTTGATTAGGTAGGGATTGTTTGAACGTTCTCCTAGAATCTACCTCAATTAATTCAGTACTTATATGAATGAAGGAGATAAAGGCTGGGAAAAAACAAAATACTGGCAAACCAAAACAAGATAACAAAGAATGAAAACTCATTACTACCCACAAGGAGTTTGGGGATTGGAATCAGAAAGCATGCTCCAGTACTTTTCTCTGCTTAATGGCTACATGACTTTGTACAAGTGATTTAACCCCTCTAGGTCTGTTTCCAGGCTGTAGAATGGGACCAATAATATCTATTCCTTGGAGATGGTGTTAGAAGCACAAATAATATTTGGAAGTGTTTTTTGAAACTTCTAAGTTATTTTATTTCTGAATATCTGCATTTTTCCAAAAATAAGCTATTATATTCCAAACTCTTAGTAGTATGTGATAGAGAAACTGAAAGTGTTTTTTGGAAGTGTTTTTTGAAACTTCTAAGTTATTTTATTTCTGAATATCTGCATTTTTCCAAAAATAAGCTATTATATTCCAAACTCTTAGTAGTATGTGATAGAGAAACTGAAGGCTATTTAAATCTATTTTTAATTGTGTTTTTCATTAGAATAGTCATTACAATTCTTCAGATCAACTTAAAACCTTTAGTAAAATGTAAAAGAATATTTCCCACAATACAATATGGTAAAGATACTGCATACACTCATTCATTTTCTGTACAGATACACCATCAATTAGAAATTTAAAATTCCTCCAAGTTTTGGCAGATTACCAAACATTCTCCTAAGATAGGAAAACCTAATAACACAAGATGCCTGTTGCCACTTCTTTTACTGATGCATTGTATAACATCAATGTACTATGCTGGAAATCCAAACAAACTGTGTGTTGACAATATGAAAAGAATTTCAGAAAATTGTTCTCAGTGATTTTACTACCCAGCTGTTTTTGTTCAGCATCTATGCACACTCATGTCATTTATAATGCACTAACATCTAAATAACTTCAAAAGACAGTTAAACGAGCTCTTGCCATGATAAAACCAAGGATATTTTGAAATTTAGGACTATTTTATTTTGAGTACAGTAAAAAAAACTATCAGATCTCCTTGAGAAAATTATTATAAATAGCA